CCGCTTAAGTAGCTGTGACTTTATTCTGAGAACACAGAAGGGAGACCCAAAGGATTAAAGCCTGGGAGTGGGAGGTGCGGAGTGTGTTATGATCAGATTTGTTTCTGGAAGAGGATTCTGTGGTTATGGGAAATGGATGAAGGTAGGATGCTCAGTGAGGAGGAGGAGGGTTCAGGTAAGTCAGGTGAGAGGATGGTGGCTTGGATAGGGCAGTGGCATGGAGCCATTTAGAAGGCACATTTATTAAGACAGGATGATTTGTTGGATGTGGGGGTGAGGAACAGGAAGGGGTCCAGGTTCTGGAAGTGAAAAGTGGGGCCTTCACAGAGCTAGGGACTTAGGAGGAGAGGTAGATTTGGAAGGCAGATAATCAGCTCAGGGTTGGACACATTGCTTTGAGATGCAGCATTTGAGGTTGGGGCAGGGTGGGCGGACCTCCAGCAGGGGGTTGAGTGTGAGCATCTGGAGTTTGAGAGAGAAGTCTAGGCCTGTGAAAGGATGGAGTTACGCGAGTGTAGAGCTGTGCTCATCAAGAGAAGACAACCTCAGTGGTTAAGACCACAGACTCTGGTTTCTAACTGCTGGGGTTCAACTCCACTTAATAGCAGTGTAACTTTGAGCAAGCTTAACATCTCTGAGTCAGTTTTCTCATTTGTCAACTGTGTGTAATAAAATTCGGTGCCGTATAGGGTTGTTGTGAGGATTAAAGTTAATGTGCTGCAAGTGCTTAGGACAGGGCCTGGCATCTGGTAAGCACCAGGTCAGTGTTAGCCATTGTTATTGTGATCAACATGGGTGGTGCACACCCACCTCCATCAGAATGAGGGGCCTTTACAAACCACCTTGTTAAGGTGAGGGCACCTGCTCATCTAAAGTAGCTGCAGTTCTGAGCTTAGGCTAGCAAGTTGGGGGAGCGCAACAAAGGGAGTGCCCAGCTCTCATCCCTCATCGTGTTTATGCGATTGTGTGTGTTGTTCAGGTATTTTTGATCTACAGATGGGCCCGTGTGGGGAGACTAGAGGAAGAAGCCCTGGAGAAGAGACCCTATATTTGGGGCGGATGGAGGGGATTCTCAGAAGGGGCAGACTCAGCATGTTCACTTGCCCATTTCCCTCACCCCGCCTGAACCCTGGGTATCTAGTGAGGTTCTTTATTCCCACATCTGCCTCTGAGGTTCAGATGCACCAGTATTTTGTGTGTCCCCAACCTCCAGATCTGAAAAGGATGGTTCTCGCTCCTCAGCCGTGTTGTAGCTGCTGCATCCAGGAACTGTTCCTGGTGCAGCCGAAGGGGTTGCCTGAGGGTTGCTCTGGGGGGGCATCTGTGCTTCTCTGCATTTCAACTTGTTCCTGGTCCCGCTGCCAGACCTCGACGAAGAGCCCTGCTGGGGGCCAGCCCCAGGTTGCTGCCAAGGCCTTCTTACCTGATCTTGGTCCTGGCCACCAACCTCAGCCCTTCTGAGGCCTTTCTGGATGCCAATCAGAGATATCTAACCTGTTTCCGGTACCAGTCAGGTTCTTTCTAAGTAGCTTTCTAGTTGATCTTCTGGGTGTATGCAGTAGTTCTGATTGTTCTGGGCTTATCTTAGGATGAGTCTCTAGAGTAATTCTGGTGAAGCGAAGGGGTGATTCTGATTGTCTGTCTAGGTGGGTTGGGGGCCAGTTTGATCCTGGACTGGTGTGGTTCCAGGCGCTGTTGAATTCTGCCCTGATGCCAGTCTGTGTGCTCTAGAGTCTTTCCAAATGCCTGTTTCATCTGTTCTCGGACCGCCTTTGGCCATTTGGAGCAAATACCTTTTTCCAGGTGTGGCTCCTGCTCAGTTAAGGTCCCATCTGTGGACACCAGCCCCAGTCTCCTGGTGTGGCCATGGAAGTGGCAATGTTGCCTGCTGGCTTGGCGGTGCGGGGGTGGGGATCGGATCCTCCCTGTTCTCGCCTGGAACTCTGCTCCTCTGCCCCAGGGTCCCTGAGCAGCGGTAGAGCCAACAGCCTCACATCTGGCACTGTGAGGCCCCGCTGGCGTCCCCGGACAAATGGGCCTTTGAGTTTCGGACACGGAAGCTGGTTTGTCTGGCCAGACCCGCCTGACGGCCTATGTGCTAGGAGCAGTGGCCAAAGGGAACTTTGTGGAGAAACTCAATGGTCTGGGGGAGGGGAGCCATCCTGAGTGAGTCCCAGGACTGTTGGTTCTTGGGGGCTGGGGGTGATGGAGGCAAGAGAGGGTGAGGGCCCACAGGGTCAGCGCCGGATGGTACTGGGCTGGTGAGTCTTCCATCAGTGAGGAAATCTCCCCGCGTTGGCAAAGGTGGTCAGTCTCCAAGTGAGGACGGATTCCCAGACACAGGAGGCTAGGCCCGGGCTGGTGAAGGACCTTCCTCCCCTGAGCCCCATTCCGT